CACTCGCTAGGCAGCCAGCGGGCACTGAGTCGGAGTCCCGTCGCCGCAACATGAGCTGCCACAGAACGCAGGGCGCCGCTGACGCCGGGGGCCGAGGATCGGCCCTTGCCCAGAGCCAAGACAGACGAGAGCGAGTCGGACAGCAGGAGGTGGTGGCTCTCAAAGGCCTTCGTGGATCTGCAGATGTGCTTAGCCCCGAACGCGATGGCCCTGGCCTCCCCCTCCACGATGTTCTCAGGCGGGGATCCCCACTTGTGCGACCCTACGACAGCCCAACCTTCCTCTCGGACCGCTTCGGGAAGACGTCCAGCGGCCTGCGTGCGGGCCTCCATGCTAGTCTCCTCATCCCCCACGAACTTCTGGAAGTCCTTGGAGCTCTCTAGGGGCTTCGTGATGATCTCGTCCTCACTGGAGCCTGCAGCCCAGGCCCGGGAGAGCACCTTGTTGTCGCCCAAGAAACGCCATCGCTCTGAGAAACAGCCCATCGAGCCCACGAGGTCCTTGTCGAGGTCCTTGCAGACCAGTCCAAAGCCCCAAAAAGGACGCGTCGGTGCACATCACCTTGGAACTCCACGACACCTGCAGCTTCCTGGAAATAAGACACAGCAAACTCGAGAACGTATTGAGCTCCCATCGGACGGACTCCCACAGAGGGACCGCGGTACATTGGCCCAGCCGCCGAATGAAAGTATAGACGGACCTGAAGATCGACAAATGCTCACGACAAAGAAGTGCCACAAAGGTACAATGGCCTAACACCCTCTCAACTTCTTTGGGACTCACGACGGCCTTGCTTGTCAAACAATCGAGCGCCAGGCGAAGCCTCCACAGCCTTGACCTCTTTGGTCGAATATCTCTCTCTCTCTCTCTCTCTCGCCCTCGAATCTCCCACCCCAAGATGTCGGCATCATGATCACACATACATACTTCATGGGTGGGCAAACCCCTGGACGTCAAGGCGGCGTTGACAAGCTTTACTGCGCGCGAGACGGCCTCGGGATCCGTACCCAAGGCAAGAAAATTATCCACATAGATAGTCATCGCCAGCGGCTGCACTGGCGGCACTACACTCTTGTCCGAGATGACCGGAACGTCGAGCAGCGCGGGGATGGAGCTCACGATCCCGCGGTGAATGGTCTGGCACCAGCACAGCGCATGCGACCAGCCCATGGGTAACACCGCAAGGACTGGCCACACGACTGCCAGGCGCGAGAGACCTTCCGCCCAGGACAGTCAGCCCCACATCACCTGCCTTCACCGCCGGCAGCGCGAAGTACTCACGGAAAGCCTCAGGCAGCCCGAAGTGGTAGAAGGCGTCGCAGATGTCCACGTGGCCGACGTATAGCTGCTCGCCCTCCGGCACGGCCAGCTCTCCCAGTGCTGAGCCTGTCGCCAGCGCGACTGTCGAAGGCCTCCTGAACCAGCAGTTGGCCCGCCGGCAGTCTATCACCATGCGCTGCTTGCCAGACTTCTTACGCACAAAGAAGAGGCCGCACTTCTCTCGCGGCGCGGCTGAGAAGGTCACCATCCCCGCCGTATGCAAACGCCGCACCAGCCCAGCATAAGCGCGTGGCTGAGCTCGTAGAATAGCATCCATGTACGGCTGCCGCGGAGCCTCGGAGAGGTTGGACTCCGCATCCTTGCGTGGAAGGAGCTGCTCGTGCATTGCTGCTTCGACATCAATATCGCCCACGCCTGCCACCAGCTCCCCGAGCGGCACGGGAACGTTGCCGGCCTCAGGCAGCGAGACGAGGGAGTCATCGAAGCTGACGACTGGCGAGTCGATGTCCTCGTACACGCCAGCACCGCGGAGCTCACGAAGGGCCCCGGCGGGAGTGAGGCCAGGTGGCGGGGGGCCCAGCGCAGCAGCAGCATGACGAACACGCCCATGTACCAGGCGATGGGGCAGCCGCTCCGCCAGGCCCGGAGCGCCAGGCGCCCCGAGCCGACCAGCCAGATCATTGAGGGCCCCGAGGGCGCGGTTGGCTTCAGCCACATGAGCGCCCCGCCGAAGCAGCCGCCGCCGCACCGAGCGGTTCACCACGCCCTCCGCGGGAGCCAGGCCGTCCCGAAGCAGCGGGACAGGAAAAAGATCTCGACGGTCTGGAACTCCGTCAAATTGAATTCGCCCAGGTACGCATGCAGGAGAGCCCTGGGGCTCGGCGGCCTTGGAGCTCGAGAAGGAGGCGGCCGCACTCAGGCCTCCTTCCCGCGACACCGTCATGACTTCCCTCCGCCGCCATCCCCCTTGGGACCCTTGCGGCGGAGCTCTCGTTCTTCTCTAGCCTTCCTGATGTTCTTCATGATCGCGGCATCCTTCTCGACCTGGCCCTTCACAAACTCGAGGAGCGTGGGGGCCACCATTAGCAGGTCCCCCGCCTTGCTGAAGCCGCTGAAGGCCGAGAACTCCTCAGGACTCATCTTGTCCTTGGAGCTGGCTGAGTCGGCCTCCCGCAACCGATCGTGGTAGCTCCACTCGATAGTCTGCGCCCGCCGAAAGATGGCCTCGGCGAAGGCACAGTTGCTGAGGTCCAGCTGGTCGTAGGTGCCAGCCAGCTCGATGTACTTCATGAGCTGCTCGCGCTCCTGCACCCCCCACTGCTCCGACTGGAGCCGCGCGGTCGTCTTGAACATCAGGTGGCGATCCGTGGGGGTGTGCCGACGCCGCAAGAAGTCCAAGCACCACCAAGCAGAACGAGGCCCCGCCACTGGGAAGTCGCCGAAGGGCTCCTCCTCACAGGCGTCCACGACCTCGCGCCACTCTCGGCCTCGGCCCCGCGGCCCATTCTTCACCGCCAAGGTTCGAGCGTCTCCTCCCCCTCCGTTCTCGGCGCCAGCTCTCAATGGGTGCCCTCCGCCACCCCGCAGGCTCATCACGAAGGAGTCCTGGTCGAGCCCTGTCAGGTGCACCACCACGGCCCGCCCAGGAGCCGCCAAGAACAACCCCTTGCCACAGAGCGAGTGAGCAGGAGGTCCCAACTCGTCGCCCAGCGCGATGCGGCAGCGCTCGTCGGCTTCGGCTGCTCGCCAAACGCGGCCGCTCGAGCGTGGCGTGCTAGTGCCCTCGACCGCGGGGCCTGGGGCGCCGCTGTCGCCGACGCCCTCCGCGGCCGCAGCCGCCGGTCCAGAGGGGCCTCCGTGGTCTCCTCCGAGGTCCAATCCCAGAAGCGGCCTCTTGCCTGTCATCCGTCGACCGCCGAAGAAGTTGGCCCCGAGTGCCTCCTGCACTGCCACATCCCTGCCCGCGGCTGTACGCACCGCCACCGGCGTCTCCAGGAGCACCCCGCGCGCCTCGGCGTCGGCCTGGGCGGCCGAGTAGGCCCGGCGGTAGAGGCCCTTCATCACCTCCTCCGACGGGACCTCCTCGAAGCGATACGCCCGTCCAAGCCCACTGGGCAGCCGCAGGTCACGCGGCATCTCCAGCCACTCGACGGGACTGTCGTCGGGCGAGCCTCCCTCAAGCTCCTCGATGTACATATCGTGATCGGGAGTGTACACCACCCAGCACACTCCTGGGAGCCCCGCGCCTGAGGCCTCACTGGCCGCTGGGTACAGCAGGATCCGCTCGTGCCAGAGGTCGTCCCCGCCGTAGCGCACCACTGCTCTGCACCCCGGGAGAAGCCGCCACGACGATCCCCTGGGCACCAGCGCCATCGCGAGGCTCAAGGCGGGCCGACGCGGCGAGGCTGAGGCGTCCGAGACCGAACCCTGCAAGCAGCGCAAGTAGCACCAGTGCTATCGTTGCTCCCCAGCCGACACAGCCCTCCACCGCCTCCCGCAGCGACCCGGCGAGCGCGTCGGCGAGCGCGTCGCACACCGGGCCGCCCGCGGCCGCCAGCCAGGGAGGGCTGCCTCCCCCGCCGCCGCCGCCCGCAGGAGCGCCGCTGCCTCCGCCTCCCTCCCCACACGTGCAGAAGCACGCGGGGCAAGGCGGATATGGCGGGCAAGGCGGCGCCGCCGGGCAACTGGGCAGCAGCGCCCAAGACGCCCCCGCGTGGAAGCCCGCGCGGGCAAGCTCACGGATCCCCGAGGCGCTGGCCTCGACAAGGGGCCGCAGGGCTTCCTTCATGCCCTGGAAAAAGACTTTGAGCAAACAGCCATGGATGGACGGCAGGGAAGCGACAACTAGGGATTCAAAAACGTGTGGAACACTAAACTAACAAGAGTAGTCAGCATCATCATCAACAACATCATCTTCATCATCATCAGCAGCAGCATCTTCATCGTCATCGTCATCATCATCATCATCATCATCATCATCATCATCATCATCATCATCATCATCATCATCAGCATCATCATCATCATCGTCATCGTCACCGTCATCATCATCAGTAGCAGCATCAGCATCAACATCAGAATCAGCATCGTCATCATCAGCAGCAGCATCGGAATCGACATCGGCAAAGACATCGGCATCATCGTCACAGTGTTCAGTATCATGATCATCATCACTATCATCATCATCATCATCATCATCATCATCATCATCATCAACAACAACATCATCAGCAGCGTCATCATCACTATCATCATCATTGTGTTCATCTTCATCCTCACTATCATCATCATCATCATCATCACCACCACCACCATCATCATCATCATCATCACCATCATCATCACCATCAGCATCACCACCACCACCAGCACCACCACCACGGTCACCACCACCATCGTCTTCACTATCGACTATCGCCATCCTCCTACGCCGTGCCGTCGATGCATCCCCCCCTGCCCCTATCCCCCCCAACGTTGCCGATTGGTGTTCGGGTCATAACTCGGCTCTCGGGCGACCGTTCGGGACGATCCAGGCACCCCCGCAACGCTCTCGGCGAGGCACAACCGCTTGAAGGCACCCCGAGGCTGGAAGACTAGCAAGAACCGTCGAAAACGCCCGAACGCGGGCGATTGGGGGTCAATGCATACCCCCTGCGCCAATCCCCCCCTAACGTTGCCCCTGAGCCCTCCTCCTCCCCTCCCCCCCGAGAGCCCCCGACGTGGAGCCGGATGCCGGGCGTTGGCTTCTTCTTCGTGTCCTCGCGACAGCGCGCGCGCGCGCGCGCCCGGGAGCACGCGCCTCGTCACCAGAAATTCCCCAGGGTCAAGACGAAAGCAGGATGAATCAGAAGGCGTCAACTGAACACGTTGGGGCTGGACGGCGAAAAGACTCGATGTTCGAGATTTTCGGCCGTTTTCGTCGGCTCTCGGCGATTGTCCCGCCTCGGGATGCTCTCCAAGAGCTGCTCCTCGCCAAGGGCGTTCCGGGGATGCCCGGATCGTCCCGAACGGCTGCCGGAGAGCCGAGTTATGACCAGAAAACCAGCGATGCACACATGCACCGATCCTGGCCAGGCACATCCTGGGCCCAGGATCGGTGTGTATGCCTTCCTCGCCAAGACAGGAGGGCGTATACTCTAATCCTGGGCCCCAGATGAGCCTGGCCAACATCGCGTCCTCAGAATGAAGACGCACTCGGATCGAGACAAGTCGGGAATCTCTAAGAGCTGGCAGCCCTGGAGGATAATTCGGGCACCGCGGCCGTTTCGGAGCGCTCCAGGAACGCTCCAGAGGCGCTCCAGGGCGGTCTGGAGCAATTGAAGCGAAAGCGAGGGCGCCCCCGAACAACTTGGATTGAACCAGTCTTTGCCCACGCTGTCCGGGCCGCGGGAAGCGAGGAGGCCCTGCCACAGCTCTAGCAACATAGCATAATTTCTGCCGCAGCCTGGCTCGCAGCCGTGAAGCCGTATTGCGACGCCCTGTGAGTCCACAGCATTTGCACTCATGTGCTTTGCACTCAGCTTTGTCGCTCACTCCACCCGAGGCATGCCTGACAGGGGAAGGGCGAGCCCACAGGGGGCCCTGAACCCGCGAGAGGAGACCTCGACCTCGGCTCTGACCTCCAGGGGCCTCTGGAGGCTGGGAACGCTGGGGAATTCCGGAGGCCCCGCAGGGTGGGAGGGTTTTGACCCTCGGCTCCAGAGCCTCCAAATCATCCAGGGGCGGATGATAGCAGTACCGAGGACGAAGGAACATCCTTCAAGAGCATGAGACCCTCCGCCGGCCAAAACGCCCCAAACCATAAGATCACCGAGAGTACCCATCTCCAGGATGCACAAAAACACACGACAAGCACGAAGGACACTAGGGTACCCTCCCGGAACCGACCTCGACCTTATACTTCGGTCCGACTGGCAGGGAAAGGCATCCGATCCGCCCCGCAAGCTACAAAAGAAGCCATGGCGTTGCGCGCCACAGGGGACCAGGTTGAGGCAAGTCCAAGGGAAAGGAGGTGGAGGGGGAAGAAAAGAAGGACGACGACGACGACGACGACGACGACGACGACGACGACGACGACGACGACGACGACGACGACGACGACGACGACGACTAACGACGACGACGACGACGACGACGACGACGACGACGACGACGACAACGACAACGACGACGAACTGGAGGAACGAGGATACAAGAGGAAGAATCAACGTACGACCGCCCCGCAGCACCAGTTGTAGCGAAGTCGAGCTTGCCTCTGTACAGCACAACACTCCGCTGGACGCCCTGGGGACACAGGAAAAAGGCGACAATTACGCGCTGAGAACGCGGACCCCGTTGGATCTGCGTGGGGCACAACTCCGCTGGACCTCCCACGGGCACACAGGAGTCCAGAAAGCCGACAATAGCCGAACGTGAAGATCCGTCACTGTTACCACACCCGTTTTCTGCATGCGTGCCCAATCAGCCAGTCCAACAAGCCCCGCATCGACACAATGCAGCGACCTCATTATCCTCCTCCTCCCCCTTTCATCGCCGTCCCCTCCTCATCATCATCCTCGGTCCTCGTCGTCCTCATCCTCGTCGTCCTCGTCATCCTCGTCGTCCTCGCCGTCGCCGTCGCTCTCGTCCCAGGGTCTCAAGAGGTCCCCAAATGTCCCCAAAGGTTCCAGAGGTCCTCGGAGGCACCCGGAGGACCCCAGAGGCCTCGGGGGGGCGGAAAAGAAGACGAAAAAACACCCAAGGACCTCGACCCTCCATTATTGTTGCAGCCGTCCCCGCAGCCGTCGCCGCAGCCGTGCGGCGCGAGAGACTCCCCAGGCTGCTGGGAGGTCTGTCCCTGGGGGGTGCGGGAGGCTTGTCGGCCTGGGATGCCATCAGGAGCGCCTCCTGGCATAAACCCACCACGGGCGCTCGAGCAGCGAGGTTCGAGGGAAATGATCTGGATGCTTGTGCGGCCCTCTTGAGCCTCCTGGGGCGCCCTCTCGGCCACAGCTGGGTCCGCCTCGAAGTCCTGGCCGGACCGCAACCGAAGACTGGTCTGGGGATCGACGTTTGACCCCTGGACCGACCTGCATCTACTTCGAGTTGTTCGATACATGTTGGGGGGACATCGTATGGGGGCGTGGAAGTGGTCTGTCGTTCGCGGGGCGCAAGGAGGGTGGATCGCGTTAGGGGGGTGGGAAGTCGGCGCGAGAGCCGGAACGGGGCGTTGGGCGGGGCGGCATGGGGTGGGGCGGGCAGAATTCCACCACGGGTACTGCAGCTTCCCATCGAGATGACGTCGGAGCTGGTGTCTGGCACCGCGTGGATCGTCCACCCGTGAACGATCGCGGCTCTCCGACAACGCAGCTGCTCGACATCGGCCGATTCAGGGCAACTGGGGGCGCTCAACCTTGAACACCCGCGCTGGGGTCGCCGCCGGATCAGCGCAGCGCGAACCTGCTAACGAACAAAATATGATAATTTCAGTCCGCGGAACCCAAAAGTCTCCACCCCGTCCCCAGGGCCCGGTCTGCATCCTGGGGCAACTTCTCATGGCAGAACAAGCTTCCCTCTTAGATCACACTTGAGACGTGCATCGCTGTCACGTCGTGCAGCGCATAGTTCCGACTGGATCGTCGGCAGATGTGCTGCCGACAGGTGTGCATGCGGGCATGTATTTGCAACGCGCTCCGCAGCCGCCGAGGCTCGAGTCTACAACTGTTGTAACACGTGCCAGAGCCGGAGGTAGCGTAAAAAGTCGCTCAGTCACCCCAAACATCCGACGTCTTGATTTGTTCAGCACGGGGTCCCAGAAGGCATGACCCCTGCCCTGGGGCCGGTTTGTCATCCCGAGATCTTTTTTTGTTGGCTCTCCTGGAGCCGGGCGACGGACCCCCGAGGCCGCAACAGGCCAAAAGCCCTTCGTCGTTCTTGTGTTACGTTGCGAGCATGTTTTCGAAGCCGTTCCTGGCGGTCCCGAAACGTGTACAGAAAAGGTGGGCACCATGCCCCGCAGCAAGCGTTGTCCAGAACCAGCAGCGGCCGCGCTGGGCAGGCGAGCTTGCGTCTCAAACGGGCAACCCCCGCGGCGAGGCAGAGAGCGAAGACTGTTCATAATGGGCACCGATCCTCTCACGAGCGGGAACATATCATTGTTGGCGTCGCGGCCCCGCGCGCAGCAAGTGGGCGTCAAAAGGTCAGAGAAAAGGGCGCGCGCGCGTCGAAAGGCCGAGCCCTCGCATGAGAGGCGAACATATTCACTTCCACGCCCTCGAGGTCTGGATTCCAAGGCGCGACACCGTGGACACGCGATCGCATGGATACGTTCCGCGCGGGGCATCCGCGAACAGAACGCCCCGTATCCATGGTGTCGCGGCCCAGGGCCTGAGCCCGCGAGGACGTGGATGTGGATACGATCCTGGAGAAACGAAAAGGCAGCGATACCGCTACTCTGTAGACCTCTCCCAAGGTGCGTTCTGCATAGACCCTCGCGTCGGATCTAGGCGTGGCCACGAGTAGAAGAACAAAAACAGCATAAACATAAAGCTTTGACGGTCCGCGCGGACGGCCAAAAGTTTATGCTTATGCCCATTGTTGTTCTTCGAACGAGGACATCCCAGGAGGCCCAACCAGGAAAAAACGAGGCCAGCAGATTTTCCACCACCACTACCACAATTAGTTACGGGAGGGAGGAGGAGGAAGAGGAGGAGGAAGAGGAGGGAGAGGAGGAGGAGGAGGACCTTCCCATCTTCCCTTCTTTCCCATGCCAATTATGGCAGTGGTGGGAAAGTTGCACACCAACATGTCCTCCTCCTCTGAGCCCGTGGCGGCCGTGTGTCGACCCCGCCCACCCCCGCCACCCTCGGCGAGCAGCGGACTCCGCGGGCCAGCGACCCCGCCTGCGCGGGCAGAGACACCTGCGGCCAGGACGACCTCTGCTCGGCGTGTCGCCGCGGCGGGAATGTCCTCCTACAGGTGGGCTTTGGAAGAAAAATGAAAAATAGTAGTAGAACAAATCAGAAATAGTACTATTCTTGAACATTCCTCCTGTAGAGGGACATGCCCGACGCAAGGCCAAGGCAGTGGCAGATCTCCTCCTCCTCTGAGCCCGTGGCGGCCGCGTGCCGACCCCGCCAACCCACGGCGAGCAGTGGACTCCACGGGCTGGGGGCCCCTGCGCGGGCAGAGACGACTGCGGCCGGGCACGTTTGCGCGGCGTGTCGCCGCAGCGGCCCCTGCGACTCTCTTCGGCGACGAGCCCGCGGGCGAAGTATCGGGTTCGAGGTTCGGGGTTTTCGGGCGTCGTCGTCGTTTCTCGGCGGTTTTCCAGCGGCTACCCGCAGGCACCTCCCAAGTACCCTCCCCAGGCGCCCGCAGACACTTTACAAGTGCCTTTCCTAGGCGCCCGCAGGCACCTCCCAAGTGCCTTCCCTGGGCCCGCAGGCACCTCCAAAGTGCCTTCCCCAGGCGCCCGCAGGCACCTCCAAGTGCCTATCCTGGGCAGCCCGCAGGCACCTCCTTGGTGCCTTCCCCAGGCGCCCGCAGGCACCTCCCAAGTGCCTTTCCTGGGCAGCCCGCAGGCACCTCCCAAGTGCCTTTCCTGGGCTGCCCGCAGGCACCTCCCAAGCGCCTCTCCTGGGCTGCCCGCAGGCACCTCCCAAGTGCCTTCCCCAGGCGCCCGCAGGCACCTCCCAAGTGCCTTTCCTGGGCTGCCCGCAGGCACCTCCCGAGTGCCTTTGTCCCAAACGGCCACAGGGGAGCCGAGTTATGACCGAAAAACCACCAGGCGTCCGAGAATGGACGGGCCTTCTCAGAAGGCTCGGAAGTCCCCCGGCTGAGCAGTCTTTTAAGGCTTCCCCGAAGGCCTTCTCCTTCTCATTTCCCCCCCTCGCTCGCCGCCGATATCTATCAGCGGCAGCTCGGGTCCAAGAAGCGGTAGAGATGGCCGAGACGAGACGAGACGCACACGTCCGATGGCAGGCGGGTCCCCTTGGGAGCGGCGCGGGCGGGCCGGGGCCCCGTCATATTCGCGTGTGTAATTACTCTCCCAGTTGATCCACCTGGATGCATCCGAGCCGAATTGAGCACAAAGGGCGGGCGGGGCGCGGGGGGGGAGGAGGCCGCGGGCGGACGGCCCCAGCGACACGCTGCGCCTTGTAAGCGGATAGCGTGTCGCTCCGCTCCGCGGGGCGGGGGGATCGAGAAGGCTCGGGACGTTGACGCCTGGGCGCTGGGATATGGATAGCGTGTCGCGCCCGCAGCGTGGTGAACCAGAGCTGGCGGAGCCATACGCTGAGCCAAAGCTCCTCACCGTATATGCATGTACGATCCCCGTGATCGGGCGTGCTGGATCGACCACGTTCCAAGCACGGGCGGGCGAACGACGACCGCACATGTGAACGGGTGCTGGTGGCCTCTGAGCCAACCCCCACGCCGCCCTCGGATTGTTGCGGCCGCGGGCAGGCTCCCAGACATCCGGCACCTCGGAAAAGATCGAGGCGGCCAGCTTTTGTTGGCAGCGCGCACAAGGGGTTATGGGGGGGAAGGCTTCTTCGAAGCAGGCTGCTCCTTAGAAGGCGCCAGCCTTGCATCTACAGACAAGGCCCGCGCCTTCCAAGAAGCAGGGGTGGCTCTAAGAAGCCTCCCCCCCCTAACCCCCATCTGCGCGTGGCCGATTTTGTCCCTATGTCTGGCCCCTGAGGAGGCTTCGCGCTTCTGGGCCGTCAGGGCACTACTTGGGGCCTGCGGCGTCGGAGCAGGCCCATTGCGCTTCGAGCGAGCGTGAGCCCCGGGACCGTCAAGGCACGGTTCGGGACGAAAAAAAACAAGCTGGGGAAGGGGTCGAAAGCCTCCTCCGCCTCCTCCTCCTCCTCCTCCTCCTTCTCCTCCTCCTCCTCCTCCTCCTCCTCCTCCTCGTCATCGTCCTCCTTCTCCTTCTCCTTCTCCTTCTCCTCCTCCGCCTCCTCCTCCTCCGGTCCGAGGCATATGCCCCGAAAGTGTCGGGGGACCGGGTGTCTTGGACGCCTGCCGCGGGCAATGGCGGAGAGATGAGAAGAAGAAGCCAGCTTGCCTAGCACATTCTCGGACACAAGTTCGTGGTCCGATCGAGGAGCACAATATGTCATAAACTGAAACTTTCGGAGGTCCACATGGATTTCGTGGATCGGCGCTGGAACCCCCTGGCTGCGCATCCAGCGCCGCCCTTGGCGCAGCGCCGATCCAAGAAATCCGAGCGGACCCCCGAATGTGCATGTTTATGTCATGGTTTGTTCCCAATCTCCCGTACACACTACGACCGTTTTGTCGTCACCGTGTCTGGCGAGGCCCATGGTGTGCGCTGGTGGGGTATAAGACAGTGCTACGCACCGACATCTTACCTCACCCTCCACACCTGCCAGAAGAGAAGACGAAAACCCAACGTAAACATAAGCTTGCGGAGGTCTGAGCGTATTTCTCGGATCGGCGCTGGATCCCACACACCCCGCCTGGCGCGCGAGGGCCCGGCGCTGATCCGAGGAACCCGCGCGGGCTTCCGAAAGCTTCTGTACACGGTGCATCCTCGACCCACCGTCCTCCCCCTCCTCCTCAATCCTCGATGCTCGATTTTCCTCGATTGTCGATCCTCGATCCTCGTCCTCAACCCTCGACCCTCGATCCCCGATATCCTCCTCGATCCTCCTCCTCCCCACCCTCCTCGATCCTCCCTGATTCCTGATCCTCCGATCCTCCTCCATCCTCGCTCCTCCCACTCCTCGACCCTCCCCCTCTTCGAGTCGCCTCGAAGACCTTGGGGCGCGGACGGGGGCTGCCGGCCTCCGCGGCCGCCGGCGCCGCCTCCTCCGCCGCCGCCGGGGCGGGCACGGCCTCTTCGCGGGCGGCGGCGGGGAGGCGACGAGGTCTACCATCGGTCGGAAGGAGTGGGTAGAAACACGAAGCAGAAAGGCGTCGGAAGTAGATTGGTTCTCCGCCCGCCCCCTGAAGAGGAGGGAAGGAAGGAAGCCACTCGATGCTTGAGGTAGAGGCGCCTAAAAAAGAATGTAATCTGGGAATCCAGCAATACCTACTTTCAACGACCGGTAGGTACACGTGTGCACGGCCCCTGGCAGGGCCCATCCTGTGATCTGTACTATGCGTAAGAGAATGGTTTGAAGACGGGTTCCGCCCGATTAGCGCCTAGTACTGTCGATCAGTGTCACTATCAGCGCCAATTAGCGCCTATTAGCGCCCACTGGCGCCAATCAGTGTTTCTTGGCGCCTATTCGCGCGACCACAAATAAGAAACCAAAAAAACGTCGAATTGTCCTGGAAGACAACAACTCGTGCTTAAGACAACTCCCGCGCAAAACACATCTAAACCCTGGGCCGAGGAGCAGTGTCTACGCCCTTCCTAGCTTGGGCAGGGAACCACGTACACCGCTCCTGGGGCACAGAATGGGCCTGGCCGTGGTCGCTGCAGATGTTATGTGTGTAGATATCGTTGCCCAAGGCGGGGAGGCGAGAAGCGGACCGAGACCCCTTTCCCAGACAACCAGCATCTCGACGTGTTCGATGCGTGGGCCCCAGATCTGTCGACCCCGCCGGCGTTTCATCCCGAGTCGCTCTTTGAAGGTCAGAGGCCCGAAAGCAGCCTCGAGGAGCGAAGAATGGCGACAAGGCGGTCGCTTCGATTTGTTCGAGACGCCAGATGCCGGGGCTCGCCCCGTGAAAAAAACGGCAAAAGGTTCGTGCTCCTCGGGGGGCCCTGCAAGGGACGGTCCGAAAACACCTCGGAATGCAAAGCCGGTAGAGGATCGAGGATCAAGGACCGAGGATCGAGGATCGAGGATGGCGGGCCGAGGCTCGAGGACCGAGGGTCGAGGATCGAGGGTCGAGGATCGAGCGCCGAGGACGGGTCGAGGACCGAGGGTCGAGAATCGAGGGTCGAGGATCGAGGGTCGAGGGCCGAGGACCGAGGGTGTTTAAAGCTCGTAATCCTTCTCAGGCCTCGAGCTTCCTCTGGAGGCCTCCAGAAGCCTCCATGGGGCCTCTGGGGGCCTCCGGAGAAGGAGGCGTCGACCTCGGTTCCCTAGGACTTGACCAAAACAGGATTCGACGCGGGATCCCCATATGTGCATCTCTTTGTCCTGCGATTCACCAAGACGGCGTGTCAATGTTGACAGAGTGCCAGAACAAGCGCCTCACTCGAGACGTCCCCCATCTGAGCGCGAACGGGCCCGTGAGACACACACTTCGTCAGCTCTCCCCTCAGGGGCCCAAATGCTACGCCTCCTACGTCGCGCGGATCATGAGGCTCGTACAAGAATCACGACCCCCTCCCAGAACCAGCGAACCGCTCGAGACATCCCCACCATCTGGGCGCGAACGGGCCCCTTGGTCGGCTCCTCCTGGGGTGCCCAAATGCTCTGCCTGCTACATCGCGAGGATCATGAGGCTCTGAGAAGAGACACGTCCACCTCCCAAGACAAGCGAACCGCAAAGACCTCCCCACAATCTGGGCACGAACGGGCCGGTGAAACGCACTTGCTCGGCTCCTTCTTGGGGTGCCCAAACGCTGTGCCTGCTACACCACGGGGATCATGAGGCTCGAAAAGAAAACACTACCACCTCCCAAAACAAGCGAACCGCTGGAGACATCCACACAATCTGGGCGCGAACGGGCCCGTGCAATTCCTTTGGTCGGCACCCCGTTTGGGGCGCCCAAACGCTATGTCTGCCGAATCGCGAGGATCATGAGGCTCTGGAGGGGGGGGAGAGAACAAAACAAAATCAAGCGAACCGCTCCAGACATCCACACACATATTGGGCTCGAACGGGCACGTGCACCACCCTTGGTCGGCTCTCCCTCGGGGTGCCCACATGTTATGCCCGCTAAATGAGTCTGGGTATGACTAAGCTGAATACAAATGGATCACAGTGCGAGTGGGTCTGAATGTGAGTGAGTCCAAGTGTGAGCTAGTCTGAGTGTGATAATGAGTGAAAATGAATGTAAGTTGTCCGTGCGTATGAGTCTGAGGATGGGAGGCGGGAGGAGTGAGCCAGCGAGGTCTCACTAATAACAAAAAAACATATGCGCGATATGCGGAAAACACCAGTGCCTGGCCAATCCAATGTCGGCGTCACAAGGGCCGTTATCGGGCTGGGGGGCGTCAAAGGGAAGAGGAGGACGGAAGGAGGGCGGACAAGAAAGCAAGGGGAGGGGAGGGCCCTTCGCCGCCACCGCTGGACTCACCTCGATACTCCGGCGGGAGCGCGCTCGGGGACAGGTCGAAAGGTCGCTCCTGCAATGACGGTGGAAACTTCAGGGGGGGTGTTACGGGGGGAGCTGCTCAGGAACAGTAACGTGGAATCGGCGTTCAACGGGCGATCAGGGGTTCGTGCATCCCTCCCTAACGTCGTGATCAATGACGGCGGGTGCTCTTCGTTCTGTCACTGCGTGAAACGTTCAGTCTTGAAGGATCTCCGCAACAGTGGTCTCCGAAAGCTGCTGGGGGCGTTCAGTAATCAACGCCCACGCCTGCGCTGCTGCCGAGCCGAGACGGCACAAGCCTGTCGTGCCCCGATCCTTGGCCCAGACCAGCCTGGCCATGATCTACCTGCCTGGACATTCTGTCGGTGGAGCGCCCAGGGGAAGGCAGAAGGGGCGGACCTTCTCAGAAGGCTCAGAGGGCCGCTGGCCGTCTGAGACGCTTTCCAGGTCTTCTCCGAAGCCACAGGGGTCTTCTCAGAGGCAGGAGAGTT